CACACACACACACACACACACACACAGACAACCCCGTGACAATATGCGTTTTGTACTGCTGTTACATAGCAAAAAACGCATAAAAATTGATCATTTAGTGAGTCCATTGAAGCTTTGAGGCGTTCGCGTAGGCTGGATGGTGCGACTGATCAGTAGTGGACTTTAAGAACGATCAAATTAGGGAAAGAAAAAAAGGGATTACTGAAAGAGGCCAAGGCGATCGCACATAATCAGATGGGCATTGGACATGCGACCGATCGAATCCTGACTAAGATATTTCAGGAAAAAGTCGATCATATCTTCTGTCTGAAATACAGCAACAGTTAGGAAATAAGCAGCGTTCGAATGATTATCAAATTAAGCTATTTATTGATTTGCTTGTTGTTCTGTAAAACTTTGATTTTCTCTTGCTCATTACAAGACTGACTGTGACAAAGAGAAACTAAGGCTAGGTGCTATGGATTATTTGTCACATATTCATAAAAAGATACTTTTGTTCTGCTTTTGCTCTCTTTTTTACAGTCAGCGTTTGTTTTTTTATGTCCTTTATCCGTACATGTAATTGCTTCAGACACGACAATATCGGAGAGACTGTTCGCGAATTCTGGGTCTTATTATTACTTCAAGTATTTTTTAGAACATCGAAATCGTCTCATGATTTTTTCGGTAATATGTTAATTTCTGTACAAGCAACTAACTGTTGGTGATGTAACATATTCAACAGGCTTAGATTTTGGGAAAAACATTGCATTCTCATTGTGCTGAAAGAAGAGTTCACGATCGAAAATAACCGTATACTCATCACCATCCAAGTCACTTCCTAAACACAATGTTTCAGCAATAAATCGAATACTTCTTTCTACTCTTTCAAAATCAACAACAGTCCAGAATCTCAGTTACTGGAAAAGTTGGACGGTGAAGATAGGAAGGTTGAAAGTTGCAAAACCGAAAAAAAGAATGCAAGTTATATAGTACTCCTCTTCAAAAGAGAAGCAAATAATTGGCCAACGCACAGACTGCCCGTACGAAGACGCGTTTTTTGCGTGGTTCACCGCAGTTTTTGTCGCTACTGGCATCGGTTTTTTCGGCAAATGCTTCTAGCTAGACAAATTAAGGCTGGCCGCCAGAACTGTCAGGAAACACCTCCTTAAAATTTCAGCTTTCTAGCATCTCAGATCCCCGAATTATGAACTTACCCGGGAAAAATTTTGGCGAGCCCGTATACAAGTACCACGCCTACCCGGGATTTGGGTTTGAGATCATTAGTACCTGCTTGGACGGGGAACATTCCCTTAAAATTTCAGCTCTTTACCTCTTCCGGTCTTCCGGTTCATGAGTTAGCAGCTTACCCGTAAAAAACTTTGGCAGGCTCTTACGTGGGTACCACGCGGGAAAGATCGCCCATTTTAGGGATGGGGGTATGTAGATCAAGCCCCCAAAGTTTCAGCCCTGTAGCTTTTGTAGGTCTCGAGATGAAAAACCGGTACAGAGACCCTGCGCACATACAGACACACACACACACACAAACACACATACAGACAGACAACCTCTCGTCAATATGCGTTTTTCGCACTGCATAGCTGCAAAAAACGCATGAAAAGAATGCAAGTTATATAGTACTCCTCCTCAAAAGAGAAACAAAGAAAGAAGGCAGGAAAAACCGATGTCAGAATCACCAGCAAAGTAACGGCGAAAAGACGCAGCTTCGACCAAAGCACTCATAAAACAGTCAGCTATAAGAAGAGGCAAAAATGCATCCCAGTAAATCGACATCTGATCAAAGCAGATATTCGGTTGGAATTGACTGAACAAACATGTATTCCCAGCCTTTCCACATGTTTTATACTGGCAAATACCTCTATACACTCACTTTCTTATACTGTTGCAGGTCAGCGCATACCAGTTCTGGCTAATTCAATTGAAAGCAACCCGGAGAAGACCACAAAAACAAATAAATAGCAACGCGCACATAGCTAGTGCGATCATGCGTTTTGTGTAATTCCGCCCGTCGAACGACTGCCTATCAATGATTTTCACTGCTTTGTACTTTAGCCTATGCAAAAACAATTCAAACACTGGAAAACAGTTAAAAACTTCACGCACCAACGCATGAAAGCAGAATTCGAAACCTTGAAGGGTGAATATCTTTATCCCGAGTTAACAGTTTACCCGCCAACATTTTCATGAGGCCGTAAGTGAAAACGCTGAATTTAATGGGCAAGGTTGAGCATACCCTAAAATTTCAGCTTCCTAGACTTCGCGGTTCCCGAGATATTAATTTACCCGTAAAAAACTTTCACGGGGCCATATGTGTTACCCGCGGGTACGGAGAAGCTGAATTTAAATTTGCGGGGTCACATGTGGATGGGGAACGTTCCCTAAAATTTTCAGCTTCCTAGTTTTTGTGGTTCCCGAGTTAAAAGTTGCGGACAAGTTGCTGTGGATACACACATACACACACACACAAGCACACACACAGGCAACTCCGTGACAATGTGTGTTTTGTATTGCTGTTACACAGCACAAAACGCATAAAAATGAGAAACGAGGACACAAAGAACTAACCAGCCATTTCATCAGGATGAGGGCGTGGGCCATAACGAGGGAAAACAATAACATCGCAGAGATGTGAAAGAGCACGTTGATAGACAGCTTCAAACATACGAACATCGCCGGCAACATGACAGGGATTCTTTGTCACCATTACACGTCCTAAAAAAAATTACACTTCATAGCTAGTGGTAAGTGTAAAAGTAAAACTTAATCTAAACCATATGCGCCAGGAATTTGCATTAACCTCAACTCCCTCCACTTCTCTTTTTCTCATCCTTCTGTGTGTTTTGTCACCTCAAGGGAAATTTTTCTGTCTTCCACCCCAGATTAGTAATATTCCAAGTCAATTTAGCATCGCTGTTACGCCAGTTCATCTTTCTGCTCAGCTATACTTGCGTATCATTTTGACGATTCTGGCGCATTCGCTCGATTCAGATTTATGATAAAAAAAGTAAAAACAAACTAAAACACTATCGGCCTGGAATTCTAATTTTTATACAAAAAACTGAGAAACAGTAACCAAGAAATCGATTTTTCCGTAGCTGCTGAAAATCTATTTTTATCGCATTAATAATATTCAAAGTTCTTCACAATTTTAGATGATAGATGTTAGACGAAAAAATGACTTGAAAGCAGCAGAACCAAAACCTGTTTTTTTTAAACAAGAGTAACTTACAATTAGCTCACGAAAACACGGAAAAGATCAGATTCTGTTCATGTAATTTAACTGATACTAAAAGGACTGAATAAAATAAGGGGACATTTCCAGTACATTACCCTACATTGTTAAATAAAAATCTGAGAATAAAAAAATTTTGTGCGAATATGAATAATTTTCATAACAGAATAATAACATCAGAAAATTTAAAAAAAAAAAGCTTCCGCTCGACTTTAACGAAATTCAGCTTTTTCGACATCTTTTGCTTGCAACTTAGGAAAAATTAAGTGGACAAGTTGCAATCTTACCCGTATAAATAAACTTCTCCGAAGGACCTCGTAAACTGCTCGAATACTGTATAAAAACCTGGCCATATTGCAGCAATCCGGTATCATCAACCACACCGTACATTGTACGTCCGAGATAACTCGGCAAAACAATCTTGGATTTGCTCAGGGTGAATGCTAAAAAAAAAATGAACATTTTATGCTAATTCTGAAACCATACTTCAACTTTCGACGCTACCATACTCCAAATTTGTAGTAAGCAGGAACTCATTAGGAGATTGTTGCACTCAGAAAACTAAGCTCCACTCGGGACGCAAAAACAGAATTTTGAAGGGATGTTTCCTGACAGTTCAGACTGGCCGCGAACTGTCAGGAAACATCCCTTCAAAATTCCAGTCTTCTTGCTTCTCAGATTCCCGAGCTAGCAACCTACGTGAAAAATCTTTCACGGGCTCATACGTTGGAATAACTCATACCCGGGGGCTAGGTTTGAGCTCATTAATACCTACTTGAATGGGGAATATTCCCTTAAAATTCCGTTCTTCCAGCTTCTCAGGTTCCCGAGTTATCAACTTACCCGAAAAAATTTTACGGGCCC